AGATCATAGTTTTACTTTGGGAAGTTCTTTAATTTTATTTCTTGGAACACTTGGTAGAGGCTTTTTTTTTTTTTTTTTTTTTTTTTTGTGTTCAAGATCATTCTTATCCCTATTCTTAATACCTATGTCCTCGGCATAACCCCCTTCCTCATCAGTACATTAACCTCGAAAGGGAAAGGAAAACATTCACTTCTATCAATAGATTCATTTGTGATATAGTATGGAATACTTAAATGACCAGTACCCATCTCTTCATATCTGTGCTTATAAATGTACAGGACATCCTCTAGGAAAAGATTAAATAGATTGTGGATCTCACTCCTTGTCATACTCCTGATGAGCTTGAAATGTTTCCATGTTAAGATCGTTGCCATGCATGACATTCATATGAAAGGCTATTTAAGAAAATGACAGTTTTCCGAATAATGTTTTGGCAACAACAAAATACAAAATGTAATCTCAATCTGATGAGGCTATTTAAGAACATGACTTGAATTTTCAGATTAATGTTTGGTAGCAATTTGCACTGTTAGGTGAAACTTTCCTTAGCATGACTATTCTATATTCAATTTTCTTATCTCTTATACTAAATTTGTTATAACTGATCCATAATCCGTGCTATTAGAAGTGTTTAGTATTTAAAATTTCTGAATTTTATAATGGACTTGGGTTCAGTGCCATCACTACTTTCATTTCAATTCCAGATTATAGTTCTTATTTTCAAAAGCTTTATCTTGAGTCCCAATTCTTGCAACACTTAGTAGAGGATGATCTTTTTTCTTTCTTTCTTTTTTTTTTTTTTTTTTTGTCCAAAATCATTCTTATCCCACCATCCTGGGTATGACAATAAACTGCATCCGCGTTCAGGGTAAGATGATAAACTACGTCTAACAGCAAGGCCTCTGATCAGGAGGCTTTGAGGAGTGTGGAACCATCTCTTAATTGCTGGTGTTCCCAGGTCCACCCTGACCCGGGGTGGTAGCACCTGTTAGGGTCCCAGCTATAGGCATAGTTAACCCCAAAACTGAGGTAAAAAGCATTATGTAAGTGTAAAAATAGGTTTTTATACCAGAAATAAATTTTTGAAGAAAAACTATTACCAGCAATACATTTTTTGAAATTATATTGCCAGAAATAGATTTTTTTGGCAAAACAAAAAATATTACCAGAAAAAAAGTTGTTGGCATTAAATGACCCATTGAGGTTGATATGCCATAAAACAAACCAAACCATTCTTATCCTAACTAGGAATACCTATGTTATTAGCATAGCCCCCTTCATCACCAGTACATTGTTCTCAGGAGGGAACGTCTTCTGTTGGCAGATTCCTTCAAGATGTGATATGGAATGTGTAAATGATCAGTGCCCATTTCTTCACATCTGTGTATGCACAACGGTATAATCTATGAAGAGACGAAATTAGCTGGGGCTTTCATTTTCTTACTTGGTGTAAACCTGATGAGTTTTGAAATTTTTTTTTATCAGGATCCTCCTTAGACATGATAGATTTTGTTGACTGATAAAGTTCCTTTATTTGATAACCTCCAGGCATGTTTTACCATTAAGCTATAAGAAGCCAATAGAGCAAAGGAAGGCCGTTAGCAGGTTAAGTAATGCACATCTATCATGGGTATAGATATTTATATATACTTTTATATATGCATTTATTTTATTCAAACCTGTGAACAAAGTTATTTTTAAGCAATAAATGGATTTTTTAATCTGTTATATTTAGTCTGTAGACATCCATTATTGCCAATCAGGCCTTGGACTGCCACCAGTAATGATGAATGAATGTTCCCTCAAAGAGGCCTTGTGCATATTAGGACTTAAGTGGAATTTGTACATATGATCCATTGCTAAAGATATTGCCTAAAAGTTTGGTTCCCTGTACCGCTCCAGTAAGTGTCTGACTCCTCCTGCTATCCTCGACCTTTACAAGAGCCAGATCAGGCCGAAAATAGAGTCTGCCCAGTCTTCACTTTCCAAGTATTAAGAGAAAAGAAAATTTTGTTACAAAGAAAAGAAAAGAGTGCTGAACTGCTATATAATATCTCATCACTGATCAGACCCTGAACTACCACCAGTCATAATGAAAAGATTTTCCCACCAGGTGATGAAGGTGGCCTGAGCGACTGTTGGGCCTCAAACTTAACCCTGACCTCAAGTGGAACGTGTACATATGATCCATCGTTACAGATTCAGGAACAATGTTTGGTTTTCTGTACCTCTCCGGCAAGTATCTGACTCCTGGTGTTATCCTCTAACTTTATAAGAGCCAGATAAGACATAAAATGGAGTACTGAAGCTATATTTGGGTAGGATCTGCCCAGTTCTCACTTTCCAGTCATGATCCAAAAGTGTCCCCATGTCCATGTGGGTGATGAATTATTTTCCGCTCTGTAATCCCTTTTCTCATAGATTCACAATTAGCAAGCCACTCACTGATCTATCGCTATTTCTGTGGAAAGTTGTCAGACGAATTACATTCCTTACTTCCGCTAGGTCTGACCTTGACAGCTATGAACCGCCATTGTAGAAAACCAACCTCATTCCATTTGTATTCCATTTGGTGAGATGCTAGGAAAAATGGATGGTTCCCTCAACCACTCCAGCAAGTACCTGACTCCTCCTGCTATCCTCAAACTTTACAAGAACAAGATCAGGGGCCCAAAATTAAGTACTGATGTTATATTCAGGTAGGAGCTGCCCAGTGCTCACTTTCCAGTCACAATAGTCCAAAAGTGTCCCCACATCCTTGTGGGTGATGAATTATTGTCCACTCTGCAACTCTTTTCTCACAGACTCACAGTAGCATCACTACTTCCCTTGAAAGTGCTTGGACAAATTACATTCTTTAATTCTGCCAGTTCTAACCTTCACAGCTAGGACCTGCTATGCCATGCCCATTGTAGCAAATCAGTCCCTCTGTATTCCATTGATGACAAGTAAGCTCCACTTCAGCAGCTTCTTTCCGCAAACCGTTGCTCTTTGGAACTGACTCCCAAGAGGATGTTTTCCCGATCACTACAATCCTAACCTGTTCAAGTCTAGGGTTAACCATGACCTTGCCCACATATCAACCTAAACTGTGCCTATTACTCTGTAGCCCTCTACCTCGAGTGGTTCTTGGGCCTTGTACAAGTTGCACCTCAATGTTAAAAAAAAACATCTGGCCTAGTGATTGGAAAGTCCGATCAAAGAAAAGATCTTGCACTCAGGCCAGGCATACTTTTACCACTGAACCACATGAAGAGATCCCAGCAAAGCAAGGCTCATTTCTATTATTCTGTTGTAATTGTGCTTGTCCCCCCCACCATTTCGTTAGTTTGCACAACCATTACTCCCTGCCAATATATCATAAATAATGGACTATTCTGTTTTGATTGCTTGGAAATAGGGGAAAAGACACTATTTGGTTTCAGTGAGAAAATGAAATAAAGAAAGATAGAAGTGGTGAGAGATAATCAGATTAAGCTGATAATAGCAGCTACTACACTTTGATCTCAGCCAAAAGGCTGAGAAGCGATTGTATTTTCTTGCCGCCCCATACTGGTAGGACGTGGCACAAGGTTTAGTTTAATATAGGGAGCCCGAGCATGTGCATTCAGGTTAAGTCCAAAAGTAGCCTAGCTGTTGCAGCCATTACTTCCGACCCACCCCCCTTTTAGTGCAAAGAGGGTGGTGTTGCCACAGGCAATAGGCACCTCTTAATAATATTTTCACTTGTGCTCTGTCTGAAGACAGAGGCACAACTGAGAGATGAAATGTAGTTTATCCACACAAGGACAGTTACTACACTTTGATCCCAGCTAAAAGGCCGAGATGCAATGGTGACCATAACAAAAACACCATTTTCCAGACACAATATTAAACAATGAAAACTGAGTAATTGCCAAAAATCCAGTTACCATAAATAAAAAAAAAAAAACATTGTCTGTTAAATTATTTAAAAACTATTATTAAGAGAAATGAATAGAATTATTTGACTTTTTTCTTTCTTTCTTTCTTTTTTGTTTTTGTTTTGTTTTTTGTTTTTTTGTTTGTTTTTTTTTAAATTTTGTAGAAATATTGGTCTGACATTGAATCAAAATATGTGTTTAAGCATACATAAATTTTTTTGTCCTTTTCATCTTCACTAATGTTCACCCCTATACAAGACCCAACAGACCCTCAAGGTAGAGGGTTACTGAATGAGTTAAATAGTAGTACTTGTATCTGAAAACTGAATAACGCAATTGCCAAAAATCCAGTTACCATAAATAAAATAATATTGTCAGCTGAATTATTTAAAAATTATTATGAGAAGGAATGTTCATAAGCTGGGGGATTTGGCAGATACTACACTTTGATCTCAGCTAAAAGGCTGAGATGCAATGGTGACCATGCTAAAAAGTGCCATTTTTTGAGATACATTATCAAATAATGGAAACTGAGTAATCACCAAAAATCCAGTTACCATAAATAAAATAACATTGTCTGCTGAATTATTTTTAAATCATTATTAAGATAAATGTTGATAAGATGATGATTGGGCTAGTTTAAGAGAAATAAATCTTTTTTGTTAGAACCACTTAAAGTTTATATCTGTAAATTCAATTTCGTTTTTGTACCCCAAAATGTGAAAAACATGATTATTAAGCAGTTAATGGGTGTTTCAATCCAACATTATTTCGTATCACAATAAACATTATGTTTAGTGGGTACATATATTTTAATTTTCAGTCTACTTCAGCTCAGTTTGACTTTTAAACCCCAAAAATAGATTTTTAAAAAACAAAACAAAAGAAAAACATGTGTATTCTTTACAAACTTGTGTATTTGATGATCAAAACAAATTCCTCTGTAAATTCAAACTCGTTTTGTTTAGTGAAGAGAAACATGAAAAACTTTTGAAAAATGTTATCAGTTTTTTAGTTTCCAAATTGAAAAATAATAAACTAATTCTCTAACTACCGGCAATGATTCTGACTCAATCTATTAATTTATTTCTTAAATAGAGATGCCATTTTTCCCGAATTAGCCAGAAATCCAGAATTTTATGAATTCTGGAGAAAGTCCGCTTCTGATTATGGGTGAGCATTAAAAATTTTTGAACATTATTTCATTGCATCGGCATTTTTGTGCTGGTAGATCTTTTTGCATCATTGCCAAAATATTAATTATTTTATTAATTATTAATATTAATTTAATTCGTAATTCTTGATGATGATGATATTCCCAGAGCTAACAACAACACACTGAAGAATTGTTTTGAATATTTTTCCTTTTTTAACCCAAGAAAAAAAAATTATCCTTAATTTTTCTATTCTTTTCTTTTTTCTTCCTTTTTCTCTCCTCTCTTATTTTTCACCTTCTCTTCCTTCCTTTTTTTCTCCTTACCACCCTGCTTCCCTTTTTTCCCCCACTTCCTTTTTTTATGCCTTTGCTACCTCCTTCTTTTTCCTCTTCCTTTCCCTTTTTACTCTGTCCTCCTTCCCCACCATCGCCCTTTCCTCCCTCTCCCCATCTCCTTTCCTCCATCCCCCTTTCCTCCATTGCACTCCACTTTCCTCATTTCCCTTACTTTTTCTTTCCCTCTCTCCTCTTTCTTTCCCTCTTCCTTCCCTTCTCCCATTCCTCTTCCCCTCTTCAATCTCCTTATTCTTCACCCATCTTTATCCCCCTTTTCTCCTCTCTTCCCTCTTTCGTTCTCTCTCTTTTCTTTTCCTCCTTCCTTTTTTTTTCATTCTTCTTTCTTGTCATTTTCTACTTCTCCCCATTTTTCTCTTCCCATATTCTTTCATTCGTCCTTTATTCTTCTCTTTCCTTTTAATTATTTTTCATCTTTCAAAATGGCATCTCTTTTTAAGAATCTTAAAACTCAATAAAATCTCAATTCTTTTCTGTTTTCAACCAAAATATAAATCATAAAACATTTTTTTTGTTTTGACTTTTGAAATGTAAAATTCCTTATTTTGGCTTCATCTTTTTCTTCTCTTTTTTTTTTTTTTTTTTTTTTTTTTGAGGGGGTGGGGTGCTTGCAGTGAAATTTGCACGCTAACTACCAATTTTATTTTTTTTTGCTTTGTTTTGCTCAAAAAAAGAAAAGAACTAATCCACTCATTTTTACTACATTTTTGTCCAAAATTCTTTCACGAGAAAAATAAATTCATAATATGTTCATTTGAAACAGTTTTTATTAGATACCAAAAAAATTTTTTTTTTTTATTTATTTAGCTGTTATTCAATTTTGATAAGCTTCATGAAAAGTTCTCAGCCTGGCAAATATTCCAAAATCTGATGTAATAACTAAACTCCAATTTCTTTTTGAATACCTTCTTGGTTGGACTAAGAACTTTTCAACACCTACTTATAGTTATTTTAAAAAAAATAAAATAGCTTTCATAACCTGTGAATATGAGTCAAAATTATTTTTGCTATACAGTTCAAGTTTGATTAAAAGAATTTTTTTTTTTTTTTTTTTTTCCCCAAAAAATGTGTGATTTCTGGAAATTTAATTCTTCAAAAAATTCCTTAACATCAGAAAAAAAAAAAGATGTTTTCAATACCTCTGTCACATTGTTAGCGGATTATCTGCATGAAGTGTGTATGCAAAATGTATTGCCTTGTCAAATTCCAAATGTCACATGGAAATTAACTTTTTTTTTTTTTCTTTCTTCAAACAAAGTGAAATTATTTTAATATTTTAAAAATTAATTCTTGTTTTATTTTTTCCAACATTTTCCATTTATTTTTTGTATTTATTTATTTGTTTTTTTTTTTGTTTTTTTGGGTTTTTTTTAACTTGATTCCAACCCTAACACCAGAATTCTTGTAACCCTAATATTACCGCTATTCATTACTTGGAAAATTACTTTATAAATATTTGCATTCAAATAATTTCTACTTTCTAATTCTAAGATTCTTTATTAAATTTATTAAAAGAACAATTGGGCATCTATTTCATATATGGGTAGTGTGCGTAAATGAGATCAAAAGTTAAATTTCTTTCACACTCTGTAGACCAACCCTTGCATCTTAGTGACTTTATAGCCTTGCTTGGGGTGAAATGATTTAAAAAAAAAAAAATTTCTAATTCTTTTCATAAAAACATGAAGCAGAATGTAATAGCACACACACACTGGTGGGGGTGAGAATTTTAAAAATCCATGGCCCTACCAAATAAAATTAAAATTCTGATATTTGTTTAAATCGGTGACAGGAATCGAGAAGTGAGTTTAGTAGATAACCTTTCAGTACCTAGTTACAAAATCATGATGCATCAAGAATCAGAAAGAAAATATGTTAAAATTTTTATAAGGGTCACTTTGTAGTTCCAACAACTTCACATGTGCACACACACACACACACACACATGTGTGATAAAATACAGTTTTAAGATTTAAATTTATGGGTTAAAGTGTTCAACATCAAAGTAGAGCATGTGTAAATATAAGTGGACATTGAAGTCATCACCCAGTGGCAACAGTCTGTTTCACACAATCTCCATGTCTGAAACAGATTGTTGCCTGTAACTGTGAACCTCAATGTCCACAATACATATATATATATTTTATTACTTCCACTAAAAAAAAAATTTTTTTATATATATATAATATATATATATATATATATATATATATATATATATATATATATTTAAAACATTTTTTTAGTGGATACTCATATTTGAAATAGACGCTCCATTTTTATTTTAAACGGTGTGTATTATATCTATCGGCCTGTGCACTCCATCTGAGAAAATATATATATATATATATATATATATATATATATATATATATATATATATATATATATATAAATCTAGGATTGAGCTTAAAACCTTTTAGCACCCCCTCCTAGAAGTCTTCTGTTTTCCTAAGTTGCAGGTGTCTGTTTTAATTCATTTCCACCCAAAATATTCTGTTACCTTTTCCACTTCAATAAATAAACTAAAAAAAAATTGACAATCACCACCACCCTTCTCCTGATAACCATAAAAAAAAAAAAAAACTCTCCACATCCCAAAAAATAAGAACTCATGTTAACATATGTATCTTTGTTTATTTAAGGTAAAAAATTGACACATTCAATTTATCATTTATCCACCTGTAAGTATTTCATGCGACAATGAAGTTTTTTTTTGTTTGTTTTTTTTTACCTGACGAAAATGTCTGAGAAATAACTTTTACGTATACGCAGAAACATTTCTTTTATCATGGTTGAAAAATAGGTAAGTCTGACATTAAGAAATCAATCTTCTGAACAAGTCCCCAGATTAAATAAATACAACAAGGTCAGTGAAGTTCCTCATCATTTAATATATCAATATGTTAGTCAGTATTATTTTCATGAATGGCATTGTGCAGGTTGCCACAGTAAAATTTTTATTCGAGTCTTGGTTTCAATTCCGCTAGTCCACCATTAATGTTTTCCAAAGTATAGCAAGAAGTTAAAACATTTTTACACAGCTTCTTCTTTTATGGGTCATGTCCTCTCAGGACGTAGGCGACCATGGCCCTCCACATCTTCCTGTCTCTTGTAACTCTTACTAAGTTGTCTTTTTTGTTATTTCTCTCAAACCCATTTACTCAAGCTCATCAAGTATGTCATACTATTTCCCTCTGTTCTTTTTCCTTCTCTCTGTCCTTGAGTAACAGATTTTCTGAGCATTCTTTCCTTATTATTATTGCCCCAGAAATTTCAACTGCCTCTTTCTGATGCTAGCTGTGCATTTCCTTTTGTTTTCATTTACTCTTAAACCTCGTCATTGCTCACATATGGTATCCTCATACCATCTTTCTATAGATTTCTGTTGCTTCAAGTCTCTTCTTCATCTTTGAGGAGGTTGTCCAGCATTCGCTGCTATATAGAAGGACAGATATGAAGTAACAGCCCAGTACTGTTTTCTGTTTGTTTCTGTTGCTTCATTTCTTTTTTCATCTTTGAGGAGATTGTCCAACATTCACTGATATTACATAACAGTTCAGTACTCTTTGTTTCTGTTGCTTCAAGTGTCTTCTTCATCTTTGAGAAGATTGTCTAACATTCACTGCTATATAGGAGGACAGATATTAAGAGTTCAGTACTCTTTTCTATGTTTCTGTTGCTTCAAGTCTCTTTTTTTCATCTTTGAGGAGATTGTGTAACATTCCTGCTATATAGGAGGACAGATATCAAGTAAGAGTTCAGTACTCTTTTCTATGTTTCTGTTGCTTCAAGTCTCTTTTTCATCTTTGAGGAGATTGTGTAACATTCACTGCTATATAGGAGGACAGATATCAAGTAAGAGTTCAGTACTTTTTTCTATGTTTCTGTTGCTTCAAGTCTCTTCTTCATCTTTGAGAAGATTGTGTAACATTCACTGCTATATAGGAGGACAGATATCAAGTAAGAGTTCAGTTTTTTTTCTATGTTTGTTGTTGCTTCAAGTCTCTTCTTCATCTTTGAGAAGATTGTGTAACATTCACTGCTATATAGGAGGACAGATATCAAGTAAGAGTTCAGTACTCTTTTCTATGTTTCTGTTTTCAAGTCTCTTCTTCATCTTTGAGGAGATTGTGTAACATTCACTGCTATATAGGAGGACAGATATCAAGTAAGAGTTCTTTTTCTATGTTTCTTTCAAGTCTCTTCTTCATCTTTGAGAAGATTGTGTAACATTCACTGCTATATAGGAGGACAGATATCAAGTAAAGAGTTCAGTACTCTTTTCTATGTTTCTGTTGCTTCAAGTCTCTTCTTCATCTTTGAGGAGATTGTGTAACATTCACTGCTATATAGGAGGACAGATATCAAGTAAGAGTTCAGTACTCTTTTCTATGTTTCTGTTGCTTCAAGTCTCTTCTTCATCTTTGAGGAGGTTGTCCAGCATTCGCTGCTATATAGAAGGACAGATATGAAGTAACAGCCCAGTACTGTTTTCGTTGTTTCTGTTGCTTCAAGTCTCTTTTTCATCTTTGAGGAGATTGTCCAACATTCACTGATATTACATAACAGTTCAGTACTCTTTGTTTCTGTTGCTTCAAGTGTCTTCTTCATCTTTGAGAAGATTGTCTAACATTCACTGCTATATAGGAGGACAGATATCAAGTAAGAGTTCAGTACTCTTTTCTATGTTTCTGTTGCTTCAAGTCTCTTTTTCATCTTTGAGGAGATTGTGTAACATTCACTGCTATATAGGAGGACAGATATCAAGTAAGAGTTCAGTACTCTTTTCTATGTTTCTGTTGCTTCAAGTCTCTTTTTCATCTTTGAGGAGATTGTGTAACATTCACTGCTATATAGGAGGACAGATATCAAGTAAGAGTTCAGTACTTTTTTCTATGTTTCTGTTGCTTCAAGTCTCTTCTTCATCTTTGAGAAGATTGTGTAACATTCACTGCTATATAGGAGGACAGATATCAAGTAAGAGTTCAGTACTCTTTTCTATGTTTCTGTTGCTTCAAGTCTCTTCTTCATCTTTGAGAAGATTTGTAACATTCACTGCTATATAGGAGGACAGATATCAAGTAAGAGTTCAGTACTCTTTTCTATGTTTCTGTTGCTTCAAGTCTCTTCTTCATCTTTGAGGAGATTGTGTAACATTCACTGCTATATAGGAGGACAGATATATAAGAGTTCAGTACTCTTTTCTATGTTTCTGTTGCTTCAAGTCTCTTCTTCATCTTTGAGAAGATTGTGTAACATTCACTGCTATATAGGAGGACAGATTCAGTAGTTCAGTACTCTTTTTCTATGTTTCTGTTGCTTCAAGTCTCTTCTTCATCTTTGAGGGAGATTGTGTAACATTCACTGCTATATAGGAGGACAAATATCAAGTAAGAGTTCAGTACTCTTTTCTATGTTTCTGTTGCTTCAAGTCTCTTCTTCATCTTTGAGGAGATTGTCTAACATTCACTGCTATATAGGAGGACAGATATCAAGTA